GGCATTCGCCGAATCTGACTGATGGTGCTTTCCAATACGCTGGCTTAGTTGCTTCAACTTCTTCTCTCTTTCCTTTTCCAAGAAACTATACAACTCTTTCCACGAATCACCATCTTCCGGTTCTTCCCCCGGATACTTTTTCGTCACAAAGCGTTGCCACAATTCACCGGAGTCTTCTTCCAGATACTGTAAACAAAAAAATGATAATGATTAATGGAAGCTGAAGTAGGCAAAGGCAGAGAAGCAGCAAAAAGGCGTTCTTTCAAAACCGAACCCGCACATCTCGCGTTCATTCGATGTTCAACGAAGTACTGCCTGCAAAGGTGGAGGACGTGCTGATTTTGAAGTCAAAAAACGGTTGAAAGGTGCCGCCCGCTCATGATGGGACTACGGTTCCGCTTACTGACCAACACCTTTCACTTCTACAAATAACCTGAAGTCCGCTACTGACTCTCTATTTCGAATGGTGAGGCGGAGGTGAAAAGGAGAAAGAGCTAGCATTCAGTAAGTGAGAATTCGTCCGACTACGCTTCTTCCTCGCCTTATACACCTACAAGCGCAGTTCAGCATGGTGTTCTATATGGGGCATTTCAGGTGGATTTTTTGCATTGTTTCACTACTGAGTCACTGACAACATTTCCATCAGCATAAGAGCCGCACAACCCCCAACTCAACGACTTGATTCGACCACGCCCCTTTTGAGCCCGGGCGAGGGTCCTTCGTCCAAACAAGCCTCGTGCCCATAACAGGCCAGTTAATCGATAGCGGGTTTTTCTGGGGAATGAGCCACTGATTCGAGCAGTGCTGGCCCGGAACTTACAGACCAGCCCTCTTATTTGCCTGGGAGGAGGACTCATTGGCATTTCTCCGGACGGTCCCTGTACATGGGTGGGGAGGTGGAGAAAAATGGCGCGCAGCGCATGAAACGGAGCATGAACGTTCTAGGGACGAAGATGAGTAGATACACCAGACATTCACCTCACAACCAGACCAATTCTGGCATCCTTGGCCGCAAGATCTACTAGCGCCCCCCACTAAGCACAACAGCCATGAAAATTGAATTCTAAGGCACATCTTGGTTGTCCGAATCGCTCGGCAGCTCGTGGGTTCCACTACCAGAGCGGCAGTCTTCAATACACCAGAAACTTTACAGTGGAAATAGCGCAGTCGTTCATGTTGATGTGAATACGCTTCTTTATTTCTAATTGAAAAAACTGTTCAAAGTACTAATGTTTAGGCTCAGTAAACAAAGTGAGCAGTCACCTGATGCCTGGACTCTATGTGCGCAAGAGTTTCTGCGTTGCATTTCTCCATTTCTCCGGAAAATCGGATTCCTTTGGAGTTGAGGCACATCGATAGATTATTATACTTCATTCCCGCGTAGTGCAGGACTGAATTATGTGAAAATTAGGTGAAATTTATTATTTGAACAGAGAACATCTCTGAAAATCACCCCTTATGTTGCTAGACAAGACACGAAAGAACAGAGACTTAAAAAGAGACGGGAATGCTTGCAGCTGTACCTCTCTTCTTCGACCAGCGAAACGTTTCCACGCCATGCGATTACGAGGTTAGAACATATTCTCAGCGATTGAGGATTCGTCTTTCTGAACACATAGATCCATTGAGGTTAATTAATAATCTTTGAAAATAGATAGCTAACGTGGAGGTGGTGCCTGTTCTTTCGTAGCACGGAAGGTCTGCGGGAACGGCTGGTAGTTGTTGAGCTGTAATACAATACTTTCAGCTACTGCTACACATCTACAACTTTGGCCATGTATAGGTCAGAAAATGAGATAAGACGAGATTAAGTGACAGAATTGTCACTTTTATGTCAGCCGGCAAGTGGCAGCACGAGATGCAGATCACTTAGCAGGCGTGGCATCCATGCATAACCCCCGGCAATCATCTATGTGGTGTGCCCTTCGCGACGCCACTGCGACGCCGCGGAAGGACGCCACCGGGCTAAATCTTCCCGCAAACGTCTGGGCACTTCACTTGGCAGCGGGCAAGCTCTGCTCTCACCTTCGAAGACGGTGCTTTCCATGGGCAAGGTTAATGTGTGCAACTGCATTAGCATGCCTTCTTTTCCATTCAAAAGTGTACAGGAACGGGGCTGGAGAGTACTGCCGTCTTCACACTCCACCTGCGCTTCTCTCAATGTGCACAACTTGTGTCGTTGCCAAAGCGCCACGGCGAAACACTCGGCTCAGAGAACCGCCCGAAGAGAGAGCGCAGACAAGTAGCGCGTATGGCTATGATTAGGCGCGTGGATGCAGTACGGCCCCGCGAGCAGTAAGCAAACGGTCCCCCGGAATTACTACCCTCTAGCCACATGCTATCGGAGGGACATCGAAAAGTGCGCCATTGAGAGGCTACTGCACCTGCACACCCATTCATCCCTTACGGGACCAGTAATCCCAGAGGTCAATAATGTACAGTTCGTCAATAAGGACCTCTCGGAAAAATTGATCATACCTTAGGAAAGTTACTCCAAAACATAAAAAAGGCAGATTTCCATTTTTGTCTTGGCTTCTCAACGGAAAGATGAACTAACAACCGTTGAGACAAATATCCGTCAGACTCACCAAAGGCATTTCCAGTGAGGATCGCGAGGTTTGCGGCGTGGGAGTTGTATCGGCACTTTGTAGTATGGCCTCGAAATCTGTCGCAGTCTCCTGAAATGGACAAACAGCTGATTAAGGCAAATAAACTTCTACCTATTTTGTCCTTTTTTCCAATATACAACGTTAGATTCATTGATATCTTCACCGCTTCCTTTCGACTTCTCGGACTAGAAATCTGAAAGCCAACCGACAGATCGCCCAAGGCCGCTTTCATACTTTGCGTCAGCGTACGAGCGTTTTGAGCATACGCCAGCGACAGTTACAAGGAAAGTATAGATATCTACCTAGCGCCCACTTCATGCAAAATAGATAGCTATAGTTGCTTAGTCGCTGAAGCTGGCGTACGCTCACGCAGAGTATGGAAAGATTCATTGGATATCTAATCCCATGACAAGGTTCTGTTGAGAAGAGCATATTCCCACTCTCACAGTGCACATCATCGTCTTGCAAACCCTTCAAGAGACCGTATTTGACCCTCCGGTAAGGGCATCGAACCAAAACCTCTTGTAGGGAGAGAGTGTATTTTCGCCATTTCCCACATCACAATGATGTACCCAACCAGAACAGTTCCTGCCGTTGTTGAAAATTAGCAAAACACGATCCTCCACCCCAGCTTTCTCCTCTGTACCCCCTCTCCCTCCC